TTTTTTTTCCCAAAACCCCCCCCTTTTAATTTTCCCCCCCCCCCAAAAAAACCCCCCTTTCCCTTTTTTTTTTTAAAAATTTTTTTTTTTTAAAAAAAATTTTTAAAATTTCCTTTCCTTTTCCCCCCCCTTTCCCCCTTAAAAAAATTTTTTTTTTTTTCCGGGAAAAAACAAATTTTTTTTTCCCCTTTTTTTTTGGGGTTCTTTTGACCTTTTTTGGGGGGGGGGGGGGTTTTTTTTGGGGGGCCGGGGGGGCCCCTTTCCCCCCCCTTTTTTTTAAAAAAAACCCCCCCTTCCGGAAAAATTTTTTTTTCCCCCCCCCCCAAAAAGCCCCCCAAACTTCCCCCCCCAAAACCCCTTTTTCCCCCCCGGGGGGGGGGGGTTTTTTCCCCCCGGGGGGTTTTTTTGGGGGAAAAAAAAAATTTTTTTTTTTTTTAAATTTTTTTAAAATTTTTTTTTAAAAAAAAATGGGGAAAAAAATTTTTTTGGGGGCCCCCTTTTCCCCCCCTTCCCCCTTTTTAAAAAAATTGGGGGGGGGGGGGGGGGTTTTTTAAACCCCCCGGGAAACCCCCCCCGGGGGCCCCCCCCCCCCGGGGAAAAAAAATTTTCTGGGCCGCAAAAACCCCCCCCCCGGGGGGGGGGGGTTTTTTTTTTCCGCTCTCTCTTAAAGGGGGGGGTTTTTTTTTTCCCCAAAGGGGGGGGGTTTTTTTGGGGGGCCCTTTTTTTTTTTTTTTTTCCCCCCTTTTTTTTTTTTTCCCTCCCCCCTTTTTTTCTTGGGGGTTTTTTTTTGGGGGGTTTTTTTTTTTTTTTTTGGGGGGGGGAAAATTTTTTTCCCTCCCCCCCCCCAAAACTTTTAAAAATTTCCCCCCAAAGGGGGGTTTAAAAATTTCCGTGCAGTAAAGGATCTCTGTACATTTTTAATTGGTTTTCCCTGCTTTAAATTGGAGAGGGTTAATGTACAGCAGTTTTTAAAGAAAAAAATTTTTTTAAAAAAAAAAGGGGGTTTTTTTAAAAGGTTTTTTCATTTTTTTTTTTTCCCCGGGGGGGGGGGTTTTTTTTTAAAATTTTTTAAAACCCCCCCCCCCCCCTTTTTTTTTTTTCCCCTTTTTTGGGGGGGGTTTTACTTTTTTTTTTTCCCCCCCTTTTTGGGGGTTTTAATTTGTCCTCATTGAACATTTTATTTTTTTTCCGTTTCCCCTGGAAAAATTTGTTTAATTTCTTGGGGTTAACCCCCGTCCTCAGCAGATGCAGCCTTGCAGTTTCCCGTATCAAACCCCAAAGGGGTGATACGGTTGTGGTGTATTTTCTCTGTTTTAAAGGGTTTTTTATGAGGTTTAAAGGAAAAAAGTGGGGGCGAGTACTGTGCCCTTTTGGGGAAAAGAGCTCTTTTAAATTTGGGGAGCCTCCGTTTTAACTCTGTTTACCACTACTTTGGTTCGATTTGTTTTGGAAGTTGAAATCCCTCCCCCACTTTCCCAGGGATTCCTTTAGAACGGATTTTATGGGCTATTACGCCATGATCGCATTTGTAAAAGCTTTTGCAAAGTCTGGGGTAATTACATCTGCATTCGTTTTTTTCCAGTGCATCCAAGGCCATGTCATAGTGGGTCCCGTAGTTTGAGGGAGGGGCGACCCCGCCCCGAACCCCTGTTGCCCTGGATTGTTCAGATTTTGGGAATCCAGGTGATTTTCCCAAACCTGCTTTTTTAGCACTCTTTTTAAAAAAATTTTTTTTTGTTTTTGGGACGTAAGATTTTTGGTCTATTGTTTTAGCTAATGCTTTGCTGCCCCCCTTTTTTGGAGGAGGGGGTATATCCGTTGGTTTTTTGTGACTGTGGAATTTTTACCCATACCCAAACTCCCCCTCCATGTGTACTTAGGGGATGCAGAAAGGGGGTTTTTTGCCCGTTCTTAATGAAAAAAAGAGTTCCACGAGTTGGGCCCGGGGCTGAGTGCATAGGGATGTTTTTCAAAGGCTTTTTTGAAATCTATCGGAGGGTTTGGGGGAATTTTCGGAAATTTTGGGGATTCAAATTTTTGGGGGTTTTGGGACTATTCATAAGAAAACATTTTTTGGGCGTCGGGTCCCCGCCGTTTTGTGGTTTTACAAACAAGAGTCGTACTGGGGTTTCAATATTTCACCTTTTCCCTTGGGTTTTCATTTTGTGTAAGTCCCATCCTGTCTGATTAAGGGGGGCCCCATACTAGATGTGGGGATTTGCCTTGTTTTTTTGGGTTTTGAAAAAAAATATTTTTAAATTTTTTTCAATTTCACTAATAGCTTTTTTTCTCCTCCTGCCTCCGGTTCCTTAAGGGGTAAATTTGCTTAAGTTTTGATAGTTTCCCCTTCCTTGGTCAGGGGCCCCCCTTTTGGGGCATAAAATGTTTAGCACTCCTGAGGGCTCAGGGGACTCTTTGTTTTGTTTCTGTTGAAGGGGGCGTCTTTTTTTCTCCAGTTTATCCTTTTCTCTTTTCTTTCTTAGGGGAATATGCCCAGAAAAATGCTTCGGCTACCAGGAAGTTGATCCCTTTTAAGGCCGGGTTTTTGGGCCATGCATTTAAAGGGTCTTTCCCCCAAAAATGTTTCGTTTAGGGGCATGGTTTACCTGGGCCCCGTTTTATGTTTTGTTGTTGAAGTTGTTTTTGTGAAAAACACCTTCACAGGTTCATGCTTTTTGCTGACAGGACCCCCATGAATTTTACGTCTGGCTTCGATTAGGTTGTGATCGGAATTGTTGTTTTTTATATTCTTATGTCTTTTTAGGTCCTCTTTTTTTGTGGAAAATTTAAAGGGCAAGTTGTTTTTTTTAGTCTTGTTGGCTCCCCTATTGCTGGCTTAAGGTTTTTGTTTTTCGCAGACTTAGTAGCTCTTTTGGGGGTGGACCCTTTTTTCTGCGCTACTCCGGGGGGTTGTTTCAGCTATAACATTATTTTTTCTACATTCTTCCTTTTGTTGCCCTTTGGTTTAAAAACACCCGCGTAGAGTTTGGGGGGTGGGGGCTGGAAGGTTTTTTAAAAAAGTAATCAATTTTTTAGTTTGCTGTTCCTTTAACTGTTGTGGGTTGCATCTGGTGGTTGGATACAACCCAATGACTAGGGTTTTGGGGTTTTTCTATCTTTTTTGATAGAAATTCCCAAAACCCCATTTGTGGGTTGTTCCGCAAACTCCATGCAGATAAGGGCTCTTTGAATTTCAGGCCCAAAAACCCCCTTTTTGCCTGTTTTTTCTTTTCGCATCTAAAAAGGTTTTTTTAAACCACTTGCCATATTTTCATTGTCAAAGTGATCTTTTTTTGGGGGTCTCGGGGAAGGGGTTGCAAAAATTGCATTAGACTTTCCTTTTAGAAAATCCATTGAAAAAGGGATTTTTTTGTTTGGGGGAAAGGCCCTTTAAAGGCCCTTTTATTTAGCCCAAAAATGAACGAGGTTGTATTCTGTGTTTGTTGGGGGGGGGTTTTTTTTATTGCATCGTAGTTGTAATTCTGGAGGGGCCCTGGGTGGCCAAATGGCTGCGGGCCCCCAGTCCAACAAGACTCCAAGGTGGTGGGGCTTTTTTTTGTTATTTTCCCTTTCCCTTTTCCTTTTTTTTGTTTCCCGCCACTAAAAAAAAAATGGAGTTGGGTTGTCGTAGCCCACTCACTTGTAGTACACCATCCTCCATATTCATTTTAAGTTAGGTTAAGCTTAGTTTACTAAAGTGAGGTTAGGTTAGATAAAAGTTGACCTGAAAAAAGCTTTAATCTGACCAGAAATAAAATAATCAGGCGTGACATGAGGATGATCGGGGAGGGGATAAGAACGTTGAAATGTGCACGAGGGAGAAAACGGAAAAAAAGGGAGAGAATGGAACGAGGAAGTGGGACGGAAAGGAAAGTAGGGCGGAGAGGGAGTACAAGGAGGATAACGGAGGAGGGGGTGAAGGGGGAGGGAAGATAACAGGAAGAGGGGTGGAGGGAAAGGGGAGGAGGTGCGTCCCAGGATGTTGTGGTGGCCCGGATATTCCCTTACAGGTGGGTATCCTGCCGCAGTACTGTACCTGGCGAAGGTACCCTCTTACAGGTATCCTGCCTCAGTACTCTCTACCTGGTGATGATATCCCTTATAGGTAGGTATCCTGCATCACTACCTTACCTAACGAAGGTAACTACCGAGGTATCCCTCCCCAGTGAGTAGATAAGTAGCATGCTGACGATACTACCAGCATACCAATGTAAGGGATACATTAAGGAAAAGGGATACATTAACTAAAATCATTCCAAAATTTAACGCTAGTAAGGCAAATGCTAATTTTTTTGCTGAACTAATAATAATAATAATTATTATTATTACAAAGCATTAGCGATGGGCGAAGATTGAAACAAGAGAGAATTAAATACGATTCGCAAACACAATCATCCCCATGCGAGCTTCTTCAGATCTTGGCAGCAAAACCCAAAGGGCAGTTGTGTTTATACTGTTAAGTTGGGAAGAGGAGGAAGAGGAGAGAGGGGGGGAGGAAGGGGAAGGAGGCAGGAGGAGACGGAGCGCATCAACCCCACACCCTGACCGTCTGTTGGTAACTGACAGTTGGCCAACAACTGAGCGCTGGAGCTCACATGCGCGAGGGAGGGGGAGAGGAGGAGGAGGAGGGGGAGATGCGTCACTCGTCGACGTAGTGACATAATCTTACGTTACAGTCTACCTTCTGTGTCACTGTCCTAGAGTGCATACACTCTTAGAGTGATTCCAGCATCACATCTGCTCTGCAGTAGAGCTCACCATCAACTTCCTCTACGTTAATACGAGTACCGGGGCAAGGAAAAGTCCCACCTCAACCCAGAGTCCGTCATCACGAGGAAAGAGACCTCCGTAAGGCACGAAAACTGGTAAAATCTACGAGGATATATGGAAAGAGAGTGTAGGTAGTGTGGAGACACGGTGTGGAGCCTCTCGCGTGGTGATTGGCTGTGACGTCACCGTCGCCACACGCTACTCGCTTATAGCATGCCGACTGTTTACTACAGAGTTCAGTTGTGTATTTGGCGTGAGAGGAGGAGGTTGCGCCACACAGTGCCGAGAGAGAGAGTGAGAGTCGCTGTGGACTTAGCCTGCCAACGCCAAAGGCATAGGAGATAACAATGTTACCATTTGCAAATTATGAGAGGGTTCCAGCACCCATCTCGACCCCTACAGTGTTTGGATCTATGCTGGTCAATGACAACTCCAATACGCCCTATTCGGATGCTACACAGGTGAGGACACGCGAAAAAATTATGGAACTTTAAGTTTGTGAGGCGTGAGGGACTAGCTTGTTGCTTTCAAGTCACCACATGTTCTCCAGGTCACCGGGGATGTCTAACCTGCCACCACAGATAATGTGTGCCTGAACCGTGATCCTTGATCCGTGTTATTCACCCTAATTAACAATTAACCGTTGTCTGTTGGTCTAACAATAACATTGCTCACGTGTATCTAATTGACACGCGGAGAAATAGTTGTACCAGCGAATCTGTCGAATTATATATGCGTTTTATAGCTCTGACGTGTTCATAACCAGACTTGTTCATAACGTTCTCCATGACTGTACGCCTGTGTTCAGTTTTGTGCTCAGGATCGCAACTCAAAAAAAAAAAATTGAAAAAAAAAAAATTGAACAGTGAATTGAATATACAACTTCCATACAATTTTGTGTACGTAAATTTTTTTGGCTTGTTTTACAGGCAGTGCGTCTCAGCTTTGAGTAAACAATGGATATATAGACTCGTAAACTCAAAAACACTGCCAATAAATGCACCTTTCCCCCCTCCCTCCCCCACTGAAGACTATGCTATAACTAGCTGGCAACAATAAATTTTCACTGGGTTTAAACCCTCGTAAGGAATATCACGTGTTTGATGCTGCAATGTTAAATAATGTATACAAAAAAGGCACTTAAAATGGCTTAGTCTGCCATTCTGATTAGGTGCATTTGAATTTGTGGAAGCTGGACTGTGGTGGATATGGTCGTACGGTATCTGGGAGATGATTTTAGTGATGATTACTGTAGTAATCCCTCTGGGTGTTTAGAAATGGAGATAAGCTATCGTCTGGGTCGTGTTTGTCTCGCCTCCTGGATAAGGAAGGCTCTGGCCTAGTGTTTAAAGGTAGGAGTGCAGATAATCGTGAGATTGTGGCGTAATAAGGTGAACTGTGAGATACTGGTGATAGATTGGGCTGACAGGTGTTAGTAGCGGCAGTGACTAATGATGT